GATGAGATGGCTGGATGGCATCACCGACTCGATGGACATGAGTTTGAGTAAACTCCAGGAGTTGGTGATGGACAGGGAGGCCTGGAGTGCTGCGATTCATGGGGTCACAAAGAGTCGGACATGACTGAGCGACTGAACTGAACTGAACTGAAGAGGATATCAAAACAATATGGCTGGTTGATCTAATTAATTTTTAAACTGAGTATTTGGATTTTTTTAAAATGTTTAATTTTTCTGAATTTAAAAGACTTTTAAAGTTGGTTCTAGAGAATACTAATAATTTCCCCAAATTATCACATGTTAAATATTAAATAATTTTCTTGCAAAAAATGCTATCTTAATATTTTTTTTTTCCCAAAGGACACAATGAAAAATTTGGTTGATAATGTAGAAATACAGTATTTTAAAAATTAGTTACAGAATTTACTCCTAAACCCCTGGAATAGGCAATGGCTACCCACTCCAGTACTCTTGCCTGGAAAATCCCATGACAGATGAACCTGGGGGGCTACAGTCCACGAGGTGACAGAGTTGGACACGACTGTACACACTCATTACTCCTAAACAGAATTCCACAGACGTCTAAGGAAAAGACGACTTACAGCGTAGCTCTATCCGTATGAAGTCGGTAATCCCCAGGTTCTCTAAAAACACCCCAGAGGAAGCTGTTGTCTTGAAGAAGAAAGACACATCTGCACTCAGCTCTCCATGGAAAGTAGGAAAATGGAGGTAGGATGCCTCGGTATTGAAGGAAGCTGAATTCCAAAATAACTCTGTTTTATTTTTAAGGAAAAAATAAGAATGGAAACAAATTCACAAATGACATAAGTACATTTTCTATTTTTTCAGTTTTACTATTAAAATATTGCTCATTTATACAAACCTGCTTTTCTTTTTTCTGTTTATTATACAGTATGCAAAACATGAAAATATGATGAGAGATTTTACAAGGATTGGAATTCTGGGTTCCTTCCAACACAGGACAGGAATGATGACCACACTAAAGGTCTGCAAGTCATATTTCACATGAAGGAAAAACTCCGAAGCCTAAATGCCAAAGCGCTACGGTAAGATCTGCCAAGCATTAATAGACAGTTTTTTTATAATTTGAAAATTGAAACACTTGCATTACTTTAAATAACAAAAACTCTTCAGAAGCTCAAAGTTTTTTTTGTTCTGACACTCCTAATACATGTTTTACAGAGCTACACCATCAACAAACTGTTTTCATTAATGGACTTTGTGATTTTTTTAAACTGAGAATGGCAGTAAAAATATTCTCATCTAATTAAAGATCAAGACACTACTTACTCTGTGCTATGCTGATAGTCTCAAAGAGAAAATTCTCTTTTCATCCTAAATTATCTTTTACTCTGCTTGCAACAGTGAGGAAAAAGGCTCTCAAAAAATTTTAAATGCTCAAAATAAGAAGGTGAGAGTGTTTCAAAATTGAAGTATACTAAGACATTCGCAAAAAATTATGTGGACTATATAGTGAAAGTGAAGTCGCTCAGTCGTGTCCGACTCTTTGCGACCCCATGGACTACAGCCTCCCAGGCTACGGGATTTTCCAGGCAAGAGTACTGGAGTGGGCTGCCATTTCCTTCTCCAGGGGACCTTCCTGACTCAGGGATTGAACCCGGGTCTCCTGCATTGCAGGTAGACGCTTAACCCTTTAAGCCACCAGGGAAGCATATAGTTAATTATAATTTCTGTCATACAGAAATACAACTTCTTCACTTTGCCACTTTTTTTTTTTGTTATCTACAAGTTTTCTTTTGAAAAAAAAATATTCTGGGTCTTACATAGCATCAGCCTCCCAGGCTACGGGATTTTCCAGGCAAGAGTACTGGAGTGGGTTGCCATTTCCTTCTCCAGGGGACCTTCCTGACTCGGGGATTGAACCCGGGTCTCCTGCATTGCAGGTAGACGCTTTACCCTTTAAGCCACCAGGGAAGCATATAGTTAATTATAATTTCTGTCATACAGAAATACAACTTCTTCACTTTGCCACTTTTTTTTTTGTTATCTACAAGTTTTCTTTTGAAAAAAATATTCTGGGTCTTACATAGCAGAAAATATGGGGAAAAAAATACACATGCAGTGGCATGAAGTGACAGGCGTGAAATTCAACTGGATACATGTCGTTGATGAGAAGCATTATTGGAGCAATGAACTATGCAAGTTGTCAACACATCAAAAAGAGATATACATCTTGAGTTTTAAGCAACTGCCTTCATATGTACTCACAACACTGAATAAAATTCGACTAAATCACCTTCCTGGAAGAAAGACTTATTGATCCTCTGAAGTTAGAACACAGGAATTTCAAAACAACGATTCATTATGCTAGTAGAAAACAGAAAGGGAGTTAGAGTTAAAGTCACAAACTTGACTTGGCTTCTATTTATTCCTTAAGATTGTCATTTCTTTTCTATAAATTCTGGATCCAGACAGTGTTTATATCTATTGTATTTTTTCTGTATTTCCTATGAACCTGATTCAAAAGTCAATCCCCAGCTCATATGTGGACAATTTTAGAGCTGAGTTTATTCAGTTGAGAATACACTCAAAGGGACTTTTTTCTCCCTACAGCCGAGGGAAACTGTATATTTTCTGAGTATGTCAAACTTTGCCCTTATTTCCATTTTACAGCTATTTATATGCCTAGACATTTTACTTTCTAGGAAAGAGAGCAAGAAAATGCAAAATATCAAGCCAGGGGTAATAACACACTGGTTTCTTAACAGTTCTTACCTGATCTATTTTTAGAAGGAATTAAATGTCTGTCTGCTGAAATGTATAAATGTTAAAAAAAAGCTGTAACTTTAAATTATGGAATATTATTAAATCTTGCTATTTTGGACTGATTACTAAGAGGAACACTCAGAAATACTTGAAGGTCTAAATTAGATAATATTACTATAAGAATATAATATTCCATTGGCTTCATTTTAAAATCACAACTAACCCAACAGAGCATCATTCAGGGAACTGGTTCAAATAGAGGAACAAATTCTTCGAATGTTGCTATCTTTACAATGAATGCTTCTACAGTAGTGAAAACAATTTATTATCTTAGGTAGTTTAAGCACTCTCACACACACAGTACCTCATTTGTCTAGTTAGCAAACCTTATTTTACAGACTCACAGTAGGTAAAAACCTAAGAACATTTACCTGAATTAAGAAATTACTCCTAATTCACAACAATTATAAAGAAAGCCAAGGCCAATATTTCCGTGATCAAATAACATTATTGACATTTGATAGCTCAGCTCTTTACAGACTATGCCAAGAAGCACCCGGGAGGATGTGGGTTGCCTCAGAGAAAGAAGGGGAAGGAAAGAGGAGGCGGAGCAGACCCCAGCAGGTATGGGGCAGCTGAAGCACGGAGGATTTCATGGCTGGGGTGGTTTAAAAATCCCTAGGCTATGCCTGCAGCAGACCTGAATGCAAACGCCTACTGTGTGAATGCTCTTTGTCGTGCCAACAAAACGTCATCTGCAGCAACACAGATGAACCTAGAGATAATCATACCAAGTGAATTAACTCAGACAAAGACAGTTATCATATGAGCCTTACCCGTGGAATATGAAAATATGATACAAATGAATTTATTTGCAAAACATAAATGGACTCACAGACACAGAAAACGAACTTATGGTTACCAAAGGGGAAAAGTGGAGGGCAGGGAGGATAAATTAGGAGTTTGGGATTGACATGTGTGTGTGTTAGTCACTCAGTCATGTCCAACTCTTTGTGATCCCATGGACTGTAGCCTGCCAGACTCCACTGTCCATGGAATTCTCCAAGCAAGAATGTTGAAGTGGGTTGTCATTCCCTTCTCCAGGGGATCTTCTTGACCCAGGGATCAAAACCAGGTTTCCTGCATTGCAGGTGGATTCTTTACCACCTGAGCTACTAGGGAAGACCTGATGTATGCATATTACTGTACATAAAACAGATAGTCAACAAAGACCTACTATATAGCACAGGGAACTCTACTCAGAATTCTGGAATCACCTATATGGGAAAAGAATCTGATAAAAACAGATATAAGTATACGTAAAAATGTATTATTCTAAGTAAATAATAATTAAATAATAATTACTATAGTCTCAATTATATTCATTATAGGGTACTAGAGATATGGAAAGATTCCTTCAGGTATACCACTTATTAACTTTCTAGAATTCAAAACAAATTGCATGAATAATAGGATTCATATATTTTTTTACATAGAAAAGAAAGATGTACCCAGTGTTTAATTCTATACATAAGGTAAAAAGAGCCCATGGGGGAAAATTAACTTAGTAGAATATTAAGATTACAATTAATTTTTTAAAAATCTGTTTTACCAAACTTTTATTTATATCATTTATTAATGATACTGATTCTCTTTTTAAAAGCAAATATATTTATAGGGACAGAAAGTAGATTAGTTGGCTGGGAAGATGGAAAACTGAAAGATGACAGAGGCTAAGAGGCCTAGAGTTCTTTCTAGGATAATGAAAATGTTCTAAAATTCATTGTGGCAATGGTTACACAATGCTATGAATACACTAACAGTCACTGAATAGTTCACTTTATATGGTGAATTGCACAGTATATGAATTATATTTCAATAAAGATGTTTTAAAAAAGGACAATATTTGACAAATCAGTTGTTTTTTAAGACACTATGTTTTACTTTTAAAATCAAACTGCATGACATGCTAACACCTCCTTTCCTTCTTTCTCACTTCTTTTTTCAAAAACCACTTATATGAGGTATGACTGACATGTAAAAAGCTATACATATTTAGGGTGTACAACTTGATGAGTTTGGTAACACTACCTTTCTTAAAAGTGAATAAATTAAAATGAAAATACAGAAATGCTAAGGCAAGGGATAATCTACTAGTCAAAGGAATCTTTCTGAACACTTAATTATTTTAAAAAGCTCAAAATATGGGTTTCTTTAATGAAAATTTTTATTTTGAGATAACCATAGATTTTCATGGAGTTGTAGGAAATAATAAAGATTCTGTGTACCCTTTACCTAATTTCCCCCAATGATTATAACTTGTAAGACTATGGTCCAATATCATGACCAGGGCATTGGCATGGATATACTTAAGGCATGGAACATTTTCATCACTATGCTTCATTCTTTTTCTTTTCCCCATTTACGTTAATTAGTTGGAGGCTAATCACTTTACAATATTGTAGTGGTTTTTGCCATACATTGACATGAATCAGCCATGGATTTACATGTGTTCCCCATCCCGATCCCCCCACCCACTTCCCTCCCCACCCCATCCCTCTGGGTCTTCCCAGTGCACCAGCCCCGATCACTTGTCTCATGCATCCAACCTGGGCTGGTGGTCTGTTTCACCCTTGATAATATATATGTTTCAATGCTACACCGAGGAAACCAGATCTGAAAGAGACACGTGCACCCCAATGTTCACCGCAGCACTGTTTATAATAGCCAGGACAGGGAAGCAACCTAGATGCCCATCAGCAGACAGATGGGTAAGGAGGCTGCGGTACAGATGCTTCACTCTTAAAGGCACACCCTCTTCCATCCTGCCCTCAGGCCCTCCGTAACCCCAGGCAGCTACTAATCTGTTCTGTCATTTGAGGAACTCTCTACAAATAAAGGTGTACAGCATGTAGTCTTTTGAGACTGATAATTTTTTCACTCGTAATTATCTCTTAAGATTCATCTGGCTTGTTGTGTATGTCCATAGTTCATTCCTTGTTACTGCTGAGTAGTGTGGCATGGC